TAGGAAAAGGGGGAAGCTTGGAGGGGCGCAGGTCTCATTGTGGGTGCCGGGGATGGGGGGGAGAGGGGAGAAGGCTCACCTGTGGCTGCTTCCTTCTCCTGTGGAACTTCTCCTCCCCCCCTGTGAGTATCGCGGGTCCCCCTTCTTGCATGTACTAAACAGAAAATGCATACTGTTTTAAAGTACAAAATATAATTCAAGATATAAATTCATTCATTTTTCAAACAAATTTAGATTATGTTTCTCTGTCAAATTATTAATGTAATGCTATAACTGAATAATAATACGATCTATTACTAATTCGCTTACAAACATTAAGTTTTTTCTTGATAAAAGGAAGCCATTTCTCTAATAAAGAGGGTTGATGAGTTGGATTCTCTTTTGTGATAATGTTGTCTGATATTTTGTCTAAAATTTAAAAATTCCTGTACACACACACACAACCTTTATTGGCATGAAATAATTCCTGTAACTTAACATGCCATAATTGCACTGTTTGGGGGTGGGGGTGGGGGGGATTTCCTTCTGCTTCCATTTTAGAGCAATAAGGTTTTTGGCAGCAGGTAACATAATCATTATCCATGCTTTTCCGTTTGTAGGAATCTCTATATTCTCCCGTAATTTTAGAAGTCTCATCTCTGGGGTCAATATCCAAAACAAAATCCCTTAGCGAACCCAGTATTTCCCTCAGACTAGTCTATCAGGGCCAAACTAGACATAGCAGTATCGTCGTGGCCACCACGAGGACGCCACTGCCATTTTAATATGACGTGAAAGCCTGACTTGGGCTCACAGTGCAGCAGGCTAAGGGGTCCTGGTCCCCCGTCCCAGCACCTTATCTGGCACTGAAATGCCCCCCTCCCTCATGGCTGTTCAGCACTTGAAAAGCCTCAGGAAGGAAAACAGAGCACCGTGCTGCAGTGGATGGAGCTTGCTGTAGATGGGTAGCCATGGAAGAAGAAGAGGAGGAGGAGGAGACTGGATTTATACCCCGCCCTTCACTCAGAGTCTCAGTGCGGCTTACAAACTCCTTTCCCTTCCCCTCTCCACAACAGACACCCTGTGAGGTAAAAGAAGAAGAAGAGGAGATTGGATTTATACCCCGCCCTTCACTACCCAGAGGAGTCTCAGAGCGGCTGACAAACTCCTTTCCCTTCCCCTCCCCACAACAGACACCCTGTGAGATAAAAGAAGAGGAAGAGATTGGATTTATACCCTGCCCTTCACTACCCAAAGGAGTCACAGAGCGGCTCACAGACTCCTTTCCCCCCTCCCCACAACAGACGCCCTGTGAGGTAAAAGAAGAAGAAGAGGAGATTGGATTTATACCCCGCCCTTCACTACCCAGAGGAGTCTCAGAGCGGCTCACAGACTCCTTTCCCTTCCCCTCCCCACAACAGACACCCTGGGAGGTAGGTGGGGCTGAGAGAGCTCTTTCCAGAACTGTCCTTGAGAGAACAGCTCTGACAGAACTATGGCTTGCCCAAGGTCATCCAGCAGCTGCAAGTGGAGGAGTGGGGCATCAAACCCGGTTCTCCCAGATTAGAGTCCACGTTCTTAACCACTACACCAAACTGGCTTTCAGTATTCTGTACCAATTGGAAAAAGAAGAAGAGAAGAGATTGGATTTATACCCCACCCTTCACTACCCAAAGGAGTCTCAGAGTGGCTTACAATCCCCTTTCCCTTCCCCTCCCCACAACAGACACCCTGTGAGGGAGTTGGGACTGAGAGAGCTCTTTCCAGAACTGTCCTAGAGAGAACAGCTCTGACAGAACTATGGCTTGCCCAAGGTCATCCAGCAGCTGCAAGTGGAGGAGTGGGGAATCAAACTCGGTTCTCCCAGATCCGAGTCCACGCACTTAACCACTACACCAAACTGGCTCACATGTTAGTCTGCCTGTAGCAGTCGAAAAGAGCAAGAATCCAGTAGCCCTTTAAAGGCTAGCAACATTTGTGGCAGGCCAGGAGCTTTCGTGAGTTCCTGCTGTCTGAAAAAGTGGGCAGTGACTCATGAAAGAAGACAAGGAAGAGATTGGATTTATACCCCGCCCTTCACTCAGAGTCTCAGAGCGGCTTACAATCGCCTTTCCCTTCCCCTTCCCACTCAGACACCCTGTGAGGTAGGTGGGGCTGAGAGAGCTCTTTTGAGGACTGCCCGTGAGGGAACAGCTCTGAGAGAACTTGTGAGTGACCCAAGGTCACACCAGCAGGTCCATGCGGAGGAGTGGGAATGTGGTGAATGTGTGTCCTGCCGGGTTTGAGGGGACAAACGGTCACATAGATTGGCTCAAAACTGCAGCATCACGATCTTCCTGTCAATTGGCTTCATGTGCTATTGTGGAAGGGAGGGGCTCCTACCCCGGTGTTTTGGCGGTCTGTCTGAAAGCCCCCAAAGTTTGCCAGAAATACTGGGGGCAGAGCTGGCTTCCCTTTTTAATTTATTTTTATTGTTTGTTTAGTCTGTTTTATTGAGTATTTATAGTTATTTACATTTTCTCCCCTTTCCTCCCTCCCTCCCTCCCTCCCTCTCATTTAGTCATAGTCTTTTCCCCCCAGCCAAGGGCACAGAGTCTTGATCTTCCACTGAATGTCCTTCCTTCTTTCTTTCAGCATCCAGTCTAGGTAGATCTTCCATCTGGTCTTGATTTCAGTGGATTTTTCTTCCCATGTTATTCCCTTGTCGTTTGATTCCACAATATCTGACTGCATAAAATCAAACAAATAGTTGTGCCAGATTTCTATTGTCCATTTACTTTTGTCTTTCCAACCCGGAGCGACAACTGCCTTTCCCGCCAGTATCATAGCCTTGACTAGATTTTGAGTTTTCTTATCCAATAACGGGCTTCCTATTGTGCTTAATAGCATTAGGTTAAAGTCTATAGGTAATGTTACCTTGCATACTTTCCTAATTATTTCAGTAATTCGAGCTGGCTTCCCAGGCGACATGGATCTCGCCAGCCTCAGCCCTCTTCTTCTCTCCTCAGAGAGGAAAGACTACTTCGTCCACTTCCTGCCCCCGGTGTCCGCCCAGCTTCCCCGACCTGCGTCTTTCGCACCGTCCCTGTTGGAGCACAACGCGGCCGACCTGAGCGCAGCCCAGGACTGGGAGAACGAGTGGAAGAGTCAAGGCCTCGGATCGCGCATGTCTCCTGAGGTGGGCACGCGTGGTGGGCGGGGGGGTCCCGTTATCCCAGCACAGTAAATGGCGGCGCGACGGCCATGAATACATTTTGTTTATTATATTTATTTGTAAAGTTTGATTTTTACACCACCTTTCTCTGTGGAACAGGGGTCAGGGCGGTGTACGTCAGTGTAAAAAAATATACATAGCAAAATCCTTTAAAAATCCATATTGTAAATAAAGCAATAGCGAAGGTAAAGGGTAAAGGTTTCCCTTGCTCGAAAGCCAGTCGAATCCGACTCTAGGGTTGCAGCGCTCATCTCTGTTTCCAAGCTGAAGAGCCAGCGCTGTCCGAAGATATCTCCATGGTCGTGTGGCCGGCATGACTAGACACCGAGGCGCACGGAACGCTGTTCCCTTCCCACCGAAGTGATACCTATTTATCCACTTGCAATTTCTTGCTTTCGAACTGCTTGGTTGGCAGGAGCTGGAACTAGAGACGGGAGCTCACTCCGTCATGCGGCACTCGGGTCTCAAACTGCCGAACTACCGACCTTCCAGTCTGCAGCTCAGCGTCTTGACCCCTTGAGCCACCGCAGCTCCTTTTTAAATAAAGCAATAGCGACCCAGAAGGTGGCGATGGGACTGCCAAAAATATACCACTGCCTCATGGGAGGAGGGGAGGCAGGAGAAACAGGAACCGTTTACACCAATTCACCTTTATTTATTTTGCTGTTCTTTACAGCAATTGCTATCCTCTCCCGTGTCGTTGATCTTGAGGTGGGGGTGGCCGGCATTGGTGCGCCAAGAGACCGGCAAACTTCAACCGACTTGCCAAACTCAGCCGAATGCATCAGACGGCCGGCTTGTCGCCTGGTCTTGCAGCCACTTGCTCGTCGGTTGTGCTTTCTTGCGTAGACCACTAAACTAGCTCCAGAATGGCTGCCGCGGCTTCCCTTCAGACCCACGGTGACGATCCGTGTGCCGTGCTGGCCGCTGCAGCCAAAGCAACCTTTTTGAAAATCTGCGCAGCCAATCTAATTTCCACTGGCCAGTCAGAAGCCTTCCTGGGCAGACGCCCCACTGCTGGGCCACACCCACTTTCTAAAGACCCCTGGTGGGCGCCCGTGGGCACCACATTGGGGACCCCTGATGATGCCCTTTTTTCTCCGCACCCCCCTCAGTTTGGCAGTGAAAGGAGAAACCACGTCTAGAGAATTCAGGGTGCCTGCATTGTAGAGCAGACAGTGGGCCTGGATTTGTGCAGGTGTGTTGAGAAGGAGGGAGACCTGGGAGAAGAGCAAAAAAAGTGAGGCGGAGTGGCAGATTTGGGGTCGCAGTGAAGTGCAGCCTGCTGCTTAACATTGTATATAACTAAATTGTGAAACACAAACCACAAATTTTCAAGAGCATAACGCTTCAAAAAATTCTAATGATTTGCAAAAATGGGGGGGAAAAAAGCATAAAAGAAGCTTGCAAGACTACGGGGAGCTGGTAACAGAATCCCGTTTCTGTCATCTTCATCAGGCCTTGCAGCTTCAAATGTCTGCTTTTGACTCAAAATATTCAGGAAGTACAATAGAGGGAGCAAACCAGCTCCGTATTTCTTATAATTTAGAACATTCTTTTGACAAGAGGGAATCGCCAGCGGTAACAGCCTACGCAACTTCACAGGCGGTTCGATTCTCCTCTACTGACAATCTTTGCCGTTTTTGGAAATAATTAGCATTCTTTGAAGTGTTAACACTCTTGAACATTTGTATATTGTGTATTGTGTATTGTGTTGCACAATTTAATTATATAGAGTGTACCTATCACTAAATATAATTACTGCTTGTATCATTCAAGATATTCTTCTCCATGGATGCGTATTCAGCCATTGTGTAAACACCTTTCACACCGTAATGCTTTTTTGATATATTTATTATTTTATTATCTATTTATTATCCGATCTATACCCCGCACTCCCAGCCAAGGCTGGCTCAGCGCGGCTTACAAAAGAACTAAAAACACAGTAAATAATTTAGATAACCCTGAAACAATACAAAACAATTATAACATTAAAAGGTGCTAACAGTTACTGATAAAAGATGGCGGTCGGCCTTCAGTGTACCATCTGAAGTAGTGTACCATTCTCTCAGTCATATAATTCATAAGAACATAAGGGAACATATGAACATAAGAGAAGCCAGTGTTGGATCAGGCCAGTGGCCCATCCAGACCAACACTCTGTGTCACACAGTGGCCAAAAACACCAGGTGCCATCAGGAGGTCCAGCAGTGGGGCCAGGACACTAGAAGCCCTCCCACTGTTGCCTTCCCCCCAAGCACCAAGAAGACAGAGCCTCACTTGCCCCAAAATAACATAACAGAGAAGCCAATGTTGGATCCGGCCAGTGGCCCATCCAGTCCAACACTCTGGGTCACACAGTGGCCAAAAACACCAGGTGCCATCAGGAGGTCCAGCAGTGGGGCCAGGACACTAGAAGCCCTCCCACTGTTGCCCTCCCCCCAAGCACCAAGAAGACAGAGCATCCCTTGCCCCAGACATAAGAACATAGGAGAAGCCAATGTTGGATCAGGCCAATGGCCCATCCAGTCCAACACTCTGTATCCCACAGTGGCCAAAAACACCAGGTGCCATCAGGAGGTCCAGCAGTGGGGCCAGGACACTAGAAGCCCTCCCACTGTTGCCCTCCCCCCAAGCACCAAGAAGACAGAGCATCCCTTGCCCCAGACATAGGAACATAGGAGAAGCCAATGTTGGATCAGGCCAATGGCCCATCCAGACCAACACTCTGTGTCACACAGTGGCCAAAAATACCAGGTGCCCTCAGGAGGTCCACCAGTGGGGCAACCCTAGCCCTGCTGGATACCTGGATTTTCTCTAACCAGGTTTGGGTAAACCCCATTCACCCTCCGTTCTGGCAGATTGTTGCCAGACCAGGATTGGAGCTGGCAAATGCGATGGGCACAGACCAAAAAAGTCAGTCTCTCTCTGCTCAAAATGGGGGGGGGGGGCTTGTAACATTAAGAGGGGAGATGCTCTTAGCTGTGTTTACTTCCCTTTCCAGGAATACCGCCAATGGAAGAACCAGCGGCTGCAGCGTCGCCTCCTGGACCAGTTACGCCAAGCGTGCCCCCAGGCTGGGCCCGCCCCGCAGGGAT